TATGTATCTCAACCGTACAATTGTGCTTACTGAACCTGTGCTTAGTGGGGGGGAGGGGCTGGCCCCCAACGTCATACCACAATTTGTGCCTTGGGTTCTGACTGACTGAATGCAGAGGGACATGAAAGGACAGCGATTTGATGATGCAGAAGAGGTGAAGGGAAAAAAAGCATGGGAGGTGCTGTCAGCCATCCAAACAGATGAATCTGAAAAATGTTTCCAAGAATGGATCGCAGGTTTGACAAATATATTAAGTGTAATGGAGAGTCCTTTGAAAGTGATAAAGTGATTTTGTAAAAAAAATTAAATACATAGCTTTGAAAAAAAATTCTGGGTTTTTTTGGGGGGAAGGGGGTAACCCACTCATACGTATCTTTCTAAAAGACAATTATACTCGTTTTTAAAAACCTCTTTTAAGTTGAACAATATTTAATGAATAACCCTCAAGAAAGGAAAAGCAGCTACAGTTTTATTCCACTTCTACTTCAGTGCTTCATGAGAAAAGTATTTTAATACATTATCTATTGTGTACAAATTGACATGGCTTTTCATTTAATAATCCTACAGGGGAACTTTCCTACCTTTTGAAAGGTACAGCATTTTTCAGAACAGCCTCCAGCTCAGCAATATTCGCTCTGGCAAGATCCGCCACTGTAAGAAAGCCAGATGTATAAAGGAACCTGGCTCGCTGTGCATTCAGTAAGGACACTCGGATCAGGTCACAGAGCTCCCGCTGGATGCCAAAAGTAAGACGCTTCTGAAATTGGGACAGGAGTACTTCCATGTTGTGCCATCCCAGGCGGTTGCAAAATACTGTAATCATACCTAGAACATTCATAGAATTTTTGTTGCATTAAAATTTCCCTCTATACTTCACTTACTATTCTCTTTAGATGCACTTTACAAAATGGGTATGAGTAATTGTATCCCATGGAAACATGCATTGGAATCTTGGTTATGGATGCATGCAGACATGATCCCATTTGGAAAGAGTGTTTTCTTTGTTATGGTAATAGAGCCACATGTAGATTGTATCCTCGGCAAATCACTTTTAAAATGGCTAAGGAAGTTGGGCAAGGAGAAAGGAAGTACAGTTGGGGGGAGATAGATGCCTTGCCACATGCAGACAGACGAGGCACTGAGGGACAAAAGCTCAAAGAACAGCCCTCCCCTAGAGTTGGCACCATTAATTCAGACCTCTGTCCCTTCTAGCCACCCACTTATGTTATTTCTCACAAAGAGTGGGAATATTCTTGATGACAGTGGGTGGGCTACACCACAAATAATTTGGTATGAGAGACATATGCTGCTCTGATAGATATCTAAAGCATGGATTTGGAATTGGGTACTGGGAAAAATCTGGAGGAATTTTGGTATGCTTCACAATAAGGCCCGTGTTTGCCCTGAAGAAATTGTCAGCAGAACTGTGGACATTAAGGGCTATTGTTTTGTTTTCTCTTTGTTCTCTTTTTTTAAAGTTTTATTGCATTTAATCCACATATCACACAATTCAACAGCACAATCATAACAAGAGGAGTTGAACACACATTACCACAATCAATTTTAGAACAGTTTCTACCTACCCACCCCCACCTGCCCATGGCTAAATCACTTTTAAAATGAGGTGTGTAATCATCATCAGTTCTAGAGAGTGCTCCCTCCCCCCTTGCCTACATTGTTTGATCCCTCAACCCCCTCACCCTCCCCATCTCCCACCCCTACCATCCCTAAAATCCTCGCATCCGCTTTTATCTCTGTGCCTCTACGTCTTCTGTGCTTTGCAAACTGGAAAACCCAACAGAAGCAGTAAAATAAATAAGAAAGAAAGCAGTGAGGATAAAAGTATAATACAGAGATAAAAATAGAAACAGTGGGTAAGAAATAAAAGCCCATCGTGAATATTTAAAAGGCCAGGGAAGCAATTCTTGTCACAGAAAAAGCATAAAATACTTCTACCTAGAAGAATCTCATGGGATCTGCCAGAGGCTTAACCAGGCTAGAAGCTCTGCAGATGGGTTTTGGGTCCCTACTGTCCTCCACAGTCTTCTACAAATTGAGTGTTCACAATTTAGACTCAGAATTTTCCCTTTGTCCTATTTGAAATTTGTAATTGTCTTTGGATCACACAGCTGGTGTGCTTCTTCCACGTGGATTTAGTTGACTCCTTGCTTAAACGGCTCCTTGTTTGTATACAAGCCTTTAAGACCCCAGACACCATTCTGACTGACAGCCAGGCAACATCTGCTTTCTTCACATTTTGCTCTAGTACCCTTATCTTCAGTGATCATTTCGTGAAGGTGAGTGTCCAGCCTAACCCATCAGAACTAACTGTTATTGGACTGGGGCTAAAACTCCATAAGATCAACAACAGCAACAAACCAACTAGCAGAAATGAGTCAAAGAAACAAGCAAACACAAGCACACTAAAGGCAGGGAAACAAAAGCCCCACCGAAACAGGAAAGTAAACCATTGCCTATCATCCCCTTGGGGTACAAGGCAATGGCACTTGTAAAATCATCCAGTTTTCCAATGGTGCGTCACTCTGGACACTGCACATATAAGGAGTCTATGCAAGTACAGTTTCACCTTGAGCCGCAACCCATACGTTGTTGCTCCCCAGTTTGATCTCCTAGTCGATTGAGCTCTATTTACCCTAAGCATGGAGATTGGTGCCAGGGGGAAACCTCCCAGATCGTTCTCCCGGTTACCGGCTATTCTCATGAGAGCTCAGAGAGAACCGAGAGCTGTAAATAACAGCATTTTATTTCAGGAACGGAGTGTTGCTCGAAATGTGGATATTAAATGTGATTCAGGTAAGGTTACTTGATGATCTCCGTGTGGCATCACTCTTCCTCCACTCTACTTCTCTTCTATTTCAAAACTGACTGGGTTAAGACACAACTTAGACTGATACAGCCTCATTAACCTAAAAAACCCAAGTGGGTTAATACCACAAGTATAGGCTTTCCACATAGTTTGGGGTACAATTCAATCTATAATCTTCCACTCTTCGTCACTGTTGTTCGCTTGTGGCACATTGGACACAGGAGGGAAGAGGATGTTTTTTTGAACAGTGGGGAAACTTATTTGAATTATGTTTGAATGTTGGGTGGAAGTGTAATTTGCAAATGATGAGGGGCCTCTCCCTGAAGATTATAGGAGAAAAGAGATGAACTTAAAAATGAAGTGTGCAAAATGAAACCAAAATTTAAAGATTTGTAAAATTCTGTTGTGCAAACTAAGGGCATGTGTCCAGCAACTTTTACCAAGAAAGGACAAGACTATTTAATCTTTAGTTCAAGCCAGTAAGCCTGTAACTGATGGACCTATTCAACCACTGCAGCAAAAATGGACGCAGAAAGGACAAGCTGAAGGAACGCTGCCTGTCTCCGGAATTAAGGAAATGGGCCAGTGGAGCTCTCCTCCCAGAAAAGGAAGGACCTTCCTGAGAACTATTGGATGAACCGAGGCAGTGAAACCTGTACCAGCGGCAGCAACAAACAAACCATGACTCAAAGGAACCACTGATGGCACAGTAAGCCCAACAGTCTGACCCCACCAGCTGCTCCACAAGATGGCGCAGTCTGCTTTCATAAAGATGGACAGCCTTCGAAACCCTAGGGGCAGTGCTACTCTCTCCAATAGGGTGCTACAAATTACAATCAATTTGATGATATTGGATTTGGTTTGCTTTTGATTTAAGTTTCAAAGAGGGTGATTTTTATCAACTCTGTTTTGGAGTGTGGGGCTACCATTCATCAAAGCCAAGAGAATGGGATCACTGCCAAAAGTTGAGGGGGTGAAGCTGCCATACGTAGAATGGACTCTTCACCAAAGTGGAGAGGGCTGGGCTGCCATGTCCAAGGACCAAAAGAACTGAGCCTACTGGGAGGAAATGGACTCCACTCAAAGGCGAGGAAGGAGAGTTGTCATGCCAGTGGTCCTGGGCGGCAAATCCTCCAGAGCTGAAGGACCTCTATCCAGAGTCCAGAGAACATGGTCAACATCCTTTGTCTGTTCCACCATTGTACCTTGGAAGTAGAAAGCTTGTATTCAAGGTTTTACAGGTTGTTGGTTTGTTTTTTTTAATAAATCATTTTATTGGGGGCTCTTACATATCTTATAACAATCCATACATCCATTTGTGGGTTCATTTAGACAGAAATTTTGTCCCAGTATAAAGATAGGCCCAAAGTCTGATTTACTGTATATACGCAAGTATAAGTCGACCCAAATATCAGCCGAAGCACCTAATTTTACCACAAAAACTGCATTTAAAAAATGTGCTGAAAAACTTGGCTTATACTCAAGTATATATAGGTAAATGATTCAGGAGATATTATTTTTTACTTGTATTTGATTTTAGACTTTTGAGACAGAGTGAATAGGTTTTGTATGTGGGAAGGACAAAAATAAAGGGAAAAAAGTGTGTGCCAAGGGAAATAATGTATGCTAAGCAAATAATCTGAAAAACTGGATGATATGAAGAACACAATATCATTATTAAAGGAAGGTTCATTAACAACCTGTGATCTGTAGATGACACACCCTTATTGCTGAAAGTGAAGAGGACTTAAAGCACTTATTGATGAATATCCAAGAATACAGCCTTCCATATGGATTATACCTCAAAGTAAAGAAATTAAAAATCATCAATACACAACATCAAGATAAGCAGAGAAATTATTAAAGTTGTTGAAGATTTCATTTTACCTGGATCCACAATCAACATCCATGGAAACAGCAGTCAAGAGATCAAATGGCATATTTCCACAGGCAAAGGTGCTGCATAAGACCTCTTTAAGGTGCTGAAGAACAAGGATGTCACTTTGAGGACAAAGGTATGCATGATACAGACCAAAGTATTTTCAATGGACTGATATATATGCAAAAGCTGGATGATGAATTAGGAAGACAGGAGAAGAACTAATGCATTTGAATTGTGGTATTGGCAAAGAATATTGAAAATACCATGGACTATCGGACCAAAGAAATCTGTCTTGGAGGAAGTATAGCCAGATGCTCTTTAGAAACAAGGATGGGGAGACTTTATCTCACATACTTTTGAAATATTATCAAGAGAAAGCACTCCCTAGAGAATGACATCATGCTTTGTAAAGTGGGGGGTCAGCAAAAAAAAGAGGAAAACCCTTGATCAGATGGATTGACACCGTGGCTGCAACCATGGGCTCAAGCATCACAAGAACGATGAAGATGGCCAGTGTTTCATTGTACACAGAGGTGCTGAGTCAAGCCAACTTGCCACAGCCTAGCAACAGTGACAAAGGGTGGAATGTTATGGACTGAACTGTATCCACCCCCAAACTGTGTAATACCTATACTTGTGGTATTAATCCATGTGGATTTTTTCTGTTATGTTAGTTATGTTAATGAGGCTTTATCAGTGTCAGGTGTGTCTTAATCGATTTTGAGATATAAGAGAAGCAGAATGTGAGAAGAAAGCATAAATGGAAGGAGAGTGATGCCACTTGTTGAAGAGAAGCAGAGAGACAAGGATATACCCCTAGTGCAGACCAAAAGTGCCTTCCCCGAGAACCAGCATCCTGAATTTAGGCTATTTCAGTTTCCTAGAATTGGGGCAATTTTCATTTCCTAAACTGTGAGAAATAAATTTTTGTTCATTAAAACTACCCATTTACGGTATTTGTGCTATAGCAGCAGTAAGAAACTAAGAGTTTTGTTGCTGTTGTTTTGATATGGAATGGTCAATTCAACAGGTCTATGAATGAAAGGAGCCTTGGTAGCTTAGTATAGGAACTACAGTGGTGTAGTGGGTACAGGGGGGTTACTAATTGTAAGGTCTACAGTTTAAAACCACCAGCTGCTCCAATGGAAAAAGACAGGGCGTTCTGCTCCCATAGAGTTACAAGTCTCAGAAACTCACAGGGGCAGTTCTACCCTGTCCCGTTGAGGCACTATGAGTCAGCATGACTCAATGGCACTGAGTGTGGTTTTGGTAGTATAGTGGCCTACCAGCTTCAAGAACCTGTGAGGGCAGTTCTAGTCTGACTTATGAGTTGGAATCAACCCCGTGGCAGTGAGTTTTCTGTTTCTTCTTGGGACAAATAACAGAGATGGGGGTGGAGGGAGAACAGAAAGGAGAAGAATCAGGAAATGGAAGGGGATAAAGCCAAACATTCAGCTAACCTCCACTACTCTTTAGCAAACTAACTCAAACAGAAACCATAGTTTAGAGTTTTCTGATGATGATGGGGACTACTCAAAATGATAGCTTTCATGTAGAGTCTGATATTGAAATAAACTTAGGGAAAAACCTTATACCTCACTTCAAATCATAGCCTTAAATAAATACAGCCATTCCGCTTCACTGACCTGCGTACACAGCAGCTGATTGTTGCAAAGCCTGAATTTGCCCACGACTGCATCCATACTTCTGACTGATTTCCTTTAAGGGCACTTCACTGATTAAATCCAACAACACAAGACTAGTGAAAAACCTAAAAAGTAAACAATCGAAAGAGTGGTAAGAGGTCAGAGTTATGTCTACTATGAAAGTTTAATGTCAAACAACTAAAACTGAAAAGGTATTGGAGGGTAAATATTCCTAACAGGAAAAACAGTTGAATGGAAAGACGAGTGCATGTAAAGGAAGTTCAGACCACAACTCATTAAATAGTCAAGAACTAATATCTATATAACAAAAATATTTCTCTTGCATATTAGTCCTTTTTAAAATTGATTTTAAGAAATAAGACTGGGCTTAAGAATAATAGGACAAATATTTGAAATACAGGAATTTATACAGATCATTTAATCATATCTCAACCAAATGACAATATCTGATCACCAAATCAGTATTGATCAAGTGAGTAAACAAAAGCAGCCAAACAAAACAAACTCACTGCCACTGAGTCTATTCTGACAGAGCAGAACTGTCCCTCTGGGGTTCCAAAGCTGTCAATCTTTACATGAGCAGAAAGCCTCCGCTTTCCCCCAAAGAGCAGCTGGGGAACAGCTCAGTGCACAACCCACTCCACCAACTGAGCTTCTTCATAAAAGCAACAGTAACACACACAAAATAATAAGCTTTAGAAAATGTACACTTGGTTATGTTGTGAAAACAACATGGGCTCATGCCCAGAAGTTGGGAATCACCTTGACAGCACTGGAAAATAACTGTATTAAATCTCAAAAATACTTAAAGCCTATCCAATCCCCCATCTGAATCTTTCAATTGGTACTTCCTTGCTAATATTTTTTTTAAAAAACCTCTCAAGATAAAGACATAACCCCAAATGAAACTACATGAATCTGGCAGATGTTCTGAGTAACATCTTTAAGAAAGGGAGATAATAAAATGTCCTGATTTAAAACATCTTCATATATGATGCCTGCTAAATTATAAGCTATTAGTAAAATAAAATAACAATAAATACAGGAAAATTTCAAAGTATACTGTATGCCAGACCCTGCATTAAATACTGGCTAAGCCAGGCTCTTATGGGTTACCTCTTATGGATGGCCATCTGCCGGTGCTGCCTCTCCGTTCTGGCTACTACCTTTCCTTTCACACAGCGAGCCAAGAACCCTTCTTCAACTCCGACTAGCTCTGCTACCCGTTTCATTGAATTTGGCAACTTTTCCCACAAACAAAAAAATCGGTACCAATCAATCGTAGTCAAATCCACAAACACTGGTGTAACCTCAAAGGAAAGGGCATCATTCATTAGCAAAAACGATGACATTACAAAAGGAGCAAAACCATACATGTAAAGTTCATATTAAAGAGAAGGGCCTCAGAATTTGCAAACATTTCTTTGGAAATATTTCATTTCAGAGAAAAACCTCATTAATCCATAGAACAACTTCCATGTGGAACAAAATGAAAAGAGATCACTAAGAATGCAAACTAGAGTTTATAGAACTCAAATACTTTAATCATAGAAGCCTTTAATCTCAATATCTTAATATTAGTATAATCTTAAGTATTTTACATAGGATATCATAAAAAGAAACAGCAAAATGGAAGAGGGAGCTTCTAGGAACAGGAAGCACGAGGCAACCTGGAAGATAATATATATCGTAGAATATACTAGAAACAGGTCTTATTAAAATTTACTAAGATGTCACTCACCAGACTCCCATGCCTAAGGTGGGTCCTATTATTATATCTAGTTTTACCAACAGGAAATGGACTCATAAAAGATATTAAGAATTTTACATGGTCACCTGGTTACTAAATGATAAGGTAGTCTGACCCCAGAGCCTAAAATCTTATCTACTATATAATGAATGAGACTAGAGTAGATAAAAAGTAGCTTTGAACCCATTATCATCACTCATGTATTACACACACATTTGCAAGGGGAAATGTCCACATTTTCCCCATGCTCAACTCTGTGTGGTATTTTGTACTGAAATATATTTTCTGATAAGTCTTCTTACTGAATTCTCAATTTTAACCCGACTTATTGCTTATCAAAATATATGCCTCTGTTTAGTTGACAAAATAAATTCTTTGTGATCAGGTTCTTCCAGGGAATACGACCTCAAGCACAATTTTACCCCACTCTTATAAAAGTCTTTGCTAAAAAAGGGGCCTCTCTCACGTAAGTAAATTTGAAAAATCCCTAATTATATTTATTATCAAGATCTTATCAAGGTTATAAATCATAAAATTATCATCTTCAGACTAAATTTCTCTTAGGCAATGAGATGAAATGCTTTACTACATATTTATTGGTTTTTGTTTTTACCTTATTAATACTGAAACTAAGCAAGTTTCCTTCTTTGATTTAGTTGCTAGAAAGTCAGAAGCAAAGTAATTATTATAGATTCATTTGTGTCCCCCCCAAATATGTGCCACCTTGGGTGGACCACAATTCTCAGCTTTATGTAACCATCATTCATTTTTCTGATGCAATATAATTTGCCTGTGTTATAACTCCTGACCTCTATGATGTTAATGAGGCAACAGTAGCAGCATTTATGTTAATAGGGCAGGATATAATCTACAGGGTAATGTTGTAACTTGGGTCAATCTCTTTTCAGACAGAAAGGAAGTTAGGAAAGCAGAGGTCAAGGGACCTGAGATAGCCAGGAGCCAGGAGCAAAGCATGCAATTTGGATCTGGGGGTCTCTGCATTGAGAACCTAGTAGGCCCAGGGAATACCGATGAAAAGACACATGGAAGTCTCCAAGGAGCAGGAGGCCAAGAGATGGTGAAAGGAGTACAGTGTTTTCCCCCAGAACCAAAAGAGAAAGACAGCCTTCCCCTAGAGCTGGTACCCTGAATCGGACTTCTAATTTCCTAAACCGTGAGAAAATTAAGTTAAATTTCTGTTTGTTTAAGCCATCCACTTGTGGTATATCTGTTATAACTAAGAAAATATACATTATTTAACAGCATGCATGTTTTTATATACCAACCTGTGTTAGTTTTACATTATGATCTTATTTTTACTTTATTGGCATCCATTATCCTTTGTTATTCTTACATATCATTAAAAAATTTTAAATAAAGCACTCACATCTTTTTCAAAAGCAGCTGAAAATAGATTGGTAAGTAAGCAATAGATTTAAAAGATCCTAGAACATTCTATCTATGTATTTTCCTCATTTTCATAAATACAATAGTGAAGAAAAGAGAACTTACCAGATAGACGATATGCAAGTCATTTTCTAAAACAAATCCTTTCATTGCTCTTTGGAGGTCAGCAAAAATATCTAAAGTATCCATTGGAGAAAGTGAAGAGGAAAGAGTCGCTGAACCCAGGTGTGTTGGATGAAACACTCTTCCTAGTTTGGGCATGAGAAAGTAGAGAGAGGAGTTGGAAAAGTGAATACATTTATTGAAATGTAAATACAAGTAAAATGAATAAACTTGAGAAAATAAATGAATATAAAAATTTGATATAAAAGAAATATAATACATAAAATACAACAAATTATGAAATTAAAATAAAGTATATTTAATTAAATAAAATAAGGTAAATATATTACTTTGGTGAAGTGAAATTACTTAATACAGCTCTTCTATCCATAACCTTTGCAACTCCCACCAAACAACTGATCATGTGCATGGGAGTAATTTGAGGGGGATGGTCAGTTTTTGTCATTTCACTGGTTATAAAGTGAGCCATCCTAGAAGCAGAAACAGAGAATCTCAGGGCCTTAAAGAAAGAAGAGTGGAGAGTATCTGAGACCTTTGCATGGTGAAGGGGCAGCACAGCCGCAGCAGCTACAGCCAAGGCAAAGGCATGAAGAACACTAGACAAAGGGAAGAGCTTCCCAGCCCATGAAACATGAAAAGCTGAGTTCCTTTGGGCACTTAAGGCACTGTTTCAGCACTAAAGGAGCTTTGTAACACTTTCCCAAGCAGGTTACAGGGACAAGGTACTGCAGGCTGCGAGGCTGAGGACCCAAGAGCGGTATACCTGCCAGTGTGGCTGAAAAGAAGACAAAGAAAAAAATTGTATCCTTAACATTTCTGATCCTGACTTGTAAACTGTTAGCGTCCTTCATAAACTCTATAATCGTAGTATTGCTTATGAGTATGGCCATTGCAACAGATTACCAAACCCAGCAAAGAAGCAGAGTATAATGGGAGAGACAGATGGGGTCAGAATAGGACAAAAAAGGTGGAGGCTAGGAGCATGTCTGACCTCTGCCTCATAAGAACCATCCTCGGAGAGATGTAAGAGTTCGATAGTCTATCCCCCTTATGTAACCTGAGGAGGTGACATATAGCCCCCATGCCATTTTCTCAAGTACATAAAATAAATACATATACTAAAATAACTATAAAAATTAAATGATTTAAATAAGTTAAAAATATAAAATAGTTAAAATAAATTATATTAATAAAATTACTAGTCACATGAAATACTATAACAAAAATAAGTAAAATAAAATAATTAATTAAGTATATTAAAGGATTAAAGATATAGAATTAAATAAATTTAAAATTAATACATTAAATAAAATAGCATAAATTTAAAAATAATTATAATTAGATACTAATACATTAAAATTTAACTTAAATAGACAAAGGAGTGAATGAATTTTTTTTTAAATAAAAGCTTGTCTTTGTACATTGTATAATAACCTTGCAGGTTCTAAAAAACTAAACAAGCAGAATGCTGTTCAATGCATATGAGTAGACACTATGCTGAAAATTTGAACACAACACGAATTTATTAAAAGTGAGTTGACACACTGCTTGAAAAGCCAATTTCCTTTACACTACTTGAAAAGTTGATTTTCTTTCACTGAGCAAAATATTATACACTATATCTCAGTAAAGATCAAAAGACAAATTGCAATTGACACTTCATATTTACCTTCAGTTCCATCACCAACTTCGGTGATTTGGATGAATTCATTCTCTAGCAGCCACCCCACACATGCCTCAATCGCTCCCAGCTGAGCAGAGTCTTGATTTCTCAGAGTCTCCTGCTTCCCTCCTTTCAGACTTGCAGCCAAAAATGTGCAAGAAGCATAAGTTTGCATATCTTGTGACGTACTTGCTACTCCACCAACTATTATCTGATTTTTAAAAAGTTTAGAAATTTAACTTTTTGAAACATGCAGTTGTTCATTATTAACAAACTAAAAAGGTTTTGTTCACTTAAAACATCCTCCAAATTGAAATGTAGTGACTATTTTATTATGGCTCGTGCTGAATACTTTTCTGTCCACACAGAAGGGGGATGGGAATAGGTTCAGAAAAAGAAAAGGTCATTTGTGATATGTCGATATTATTTTCTCACATCTAGTCTATTATATGAGTATATGCTATTTTGTACTTTTAGTTTATGTAATATATATTGGAAACTAATCTGATTAATACAAACAGAATTGTCCCATTCATTTTAGTCACCACAACATATAGTTTTACCATAATTTTTTTGTCTTAATGGTATTTTGGATATTTCCGTTTATCTTCTTACTAATACTACTCACTGCCATCGAGTTGATTCCAATTCATAGGGACCCTATAGGACAGGGTAACGCTGTCCCTATTAGTTTCTGAGACTGCAACTGTCTATGGGAGTAGAAAGCCTCATCCTTCTCACACAAAGAGCCTGATGGTTTCGAACTCCTGACCTTGCGGTTAGTAGCCAAATGCATAAAACACTATGCTACTTCTTACTACTAATAGTGCTGTAATAAACATTCTTGTATAATACCGTTAATTTGCTGTAATTTCAAAATAGGTCCCTAGGTAAAATCCCTAGATGCACAACTGCCATGGAATAGGCGCATGTACATTTTATATTTTAGCAGATATGGTCAAATTGACCTGCAAAAAATTTTCAGCAATTCTTGTGCCTATTTTCCATATTCTTACCAACACCCTATGTTATCAAGGATTTTTTGCCACAAACTGAACTTAGAGGGGAAAAGGGGAGTATGGGTACAGTTACCGGTATCACCAGCACTAGCAATTATGTCAATACCAATTCATACTGGTACATACATAGAAAAGTTATCCTGGATAAATATATTAAATATTTAACAGGCGTCACCCTTGAGAACTTTAAATAGGAAGAAGTTTTACTTTCATATTAGATTGTTCTCTATTATTTGAAAATTTTACCTATGTGCAATTGTAACATTTTACTTTAATGTCAACAGGTATTATCTAGATGGAAGATTTAGCTTCCAATTTGTCAACTGTTTTAGCTTCAGAAAATATTAAATATTTTTAAAAAATAAAAAACAACCATCTGGCATTAAGAGTTTTAATTAATTGGGATTGTGTTTTTAAATGGACAGACATTGCACAAACTATGTTAAACTCAAGGGAATAATTATGTAAAACAGAAAGATTCAGATTTAGCATAAATGAAAATTTAATAATCTTATAAAGAAACATTTTAATACAGGAGCAAAAGAGCAAGTAATAATGTAAAAAGCTCTCTCTTACCTCCAGAATCGCTCTTATCATGCTGGCAGTTACTTCCTCTCCTTCACGTCTTCGTAGACAGCTGCGAACAGGTTTTAGAGATCCTTGAAGTAGAGCTATGCCTTTTGATTTCTCAGAGTCCTTACAAACTAAGATACTCTCACCTAAAATGGAAAAAAGCACGCATTTAACAAAACCCAAGTTGTTTCCATAAGATACCAACTAAAGATCATGCAGGAAACACAGAAGATATGGATGCTATAGCAAAGTGTAGTGAAGAAATTAGATGGTGCCCAGCTATCAGAAAGAATAGCATACGGGGACTTAATGGCCATCTAAGTGAGATATCTAAGTCCACATAGAAGAAGTACACCAACACCCGTGATTTAAGGATTGTAAAGTATATAATCCAAATCTATAGGAGGGAACTGTATCAGAGCCTAAAACGTGAGATTCTGGTGTGCAGAAAGCTATGGATGACAGTGGAGGCCCAAAATACATTTGCAGGATCTACACAGAGAATAAGCCTACAGTGAGTTCCCTCTAATCATAACTGAGGAATGGGAATAGCCTAATTATCAGACAAAGAGTATTAGAAAGACAACTACAGTAGATTAAAATGGTAATCTGACTTCAACGGTTAAAACTTTGTCTCTTGAGCTCCTTTCTGATATTTTTGTAATTGATCTGGTTTTTAATATTTTCTGTGTTCTTGTTTTGTTTTATTTTCCCATATTGGGGTTTGTCTCTTTTATTTTGTCATTGTTGGTAGCCTTCTTGACTCTCTGTTATGTATTTTTCTGTGTTTTTCAATATATTAAACCCAAGAGAGGGGAATCTATAGAAGGCATGGTGAGGAGGTGAAGGAGAAAGGGAAAGTTGATGTCAAGGAGTTCAAGAAGGAAGGAAATGCTCTGAAACTGATTGTGGTAGCAATTGTACAACAATGCTTGATATGACTGAACTATGATATCTGGATTAACTCCTAATAAAATGGTTTGGGGAAAAAAGAGAATGTATCCTGCTTTATTTAAGAGAAAAGATGTTGTTTGGCCAAAGAGACTAATGTCTCTATTTTCTAAACGTTAGCGATTACTCGTGGAAGAGGGGAAGATCTTGGACAAGATGGATAGAAGCAGTAGCCCAATGTAACAACAATTTTGAGGGTAGTGCAGGACCCTGTAGTGCTTCATGCTACCTCCACAGCAAAGAGAAAATAAGAACAGCAGTAAGGCAACTAATTAAAGTTCTTTAAAAAGCATAACAGAAAAGGAAAATTATTATCAATTAAACATAATAGAAACTGAAAAATATTTATGGGTGCCTATTGTTTCACTTACTAAACTAAATGTTTTAGGTTACTATTAACAAATGAACAAAAGTATACGAAAGCACTTGTAAATCTTAAATCCGGTATATACTCAAGTATAAGCTGACCCGAATATCAGCTAAGGCACCTAATTTTACCACAAAAACTGTGTAAAAATGTGCTGAAAAACTTGGCTTTTCCACGAGTATATCTGGTATATGAAAATATGCTGCTTCTGAAGAACTGTGTTTCAGTTTACAGTGATGGGGGGGGGGAAGCACTGTTGCAAAGTAGATTAATGAATGTCATAACTGTCATTAAACTATACCACCCATAAAAAGCTGGATTGGAAGAATGTAATAATACCATTAACTGTTCAGATGCTGGAATTAGTGTGTTGTTATGTATATTCTCAATAACATATTTTTTAAGTATACAAAATTTATACAAATGTAAACTATTAAGACAATTCTAGCCTAAGAAAAACATTAATTTTTCCAAAAGTGAATCTAACAGAACAGGAAAGAAAGCAAGTAAATAAGGTATTCAAAAGACAGAGTGAATGGTCTTTGCATTAAAAAACAAGATAAGAAACAAAAAAAACCCAACTCGCTGTCATCAAGTCCATGCTGACTCATAGCAACCCTAAGGATCGAAAAGAGTAGAAGGCCCCAACTTTCTCCTGCAAAGAACAAGATAAGGAAGTAAGCTTAGTGTCCACCAATTATTGCCTTCCAGCTAATGTTTTAAGAAGTCAACTTTCTTAATGTAAGTCATGTCATGAAAGTATGAAAATAGTTAATACCAAAAGGAAATCATAACTCTTATTATAGTCAACAAAAATAGAAAATAAATGCCCGATGACATAGAAAATTATAATTTATACCCATTATACGAAGGGACTTCAATGATCTATGGTAAAAATGGAATGAAAGATAATGGAATTTTTTCCATGAAAATTTTGAAGCCCCATCATCCACATTGAATGAATCCAAAAAGATGGCATGAATGCAACAGATATTAAAGAAATGCGTCAAGATGTGCCACGGGTGCCAAGCACTAGTCAAATGTCAAGTAGACCAACATGTCCTTTGACAAAGCTACGACAATTAAATTCAAACTTACCTACTGTGTCCACTCCTTTCCTCCCAGCACGACCAACCATCTGCTTGTAAGTAAGAATATCTAGAGGTCGACCACTGAACACGGGAGTCCTAATGATCACACGACGTGCTGGCAAATTCACTCCAGATGAAAGAGTAGAAGTGGCTGCCAAGACTCGAATGAGACCCTGACGAAAGGCTCCTTCAATGATGTCCCTCTCTTCAAAAGTAAGACCTGAAAATAGGGAGGTTCCAGAACATATTTATTTGTAAAAATACTCTACCTGATTATTAACAAATAGATCTAAGAGTTTTCTACGGTTTCCCAGGGTTGATTTTAAAGCAATTGTGATCGTAAAGAAAGAAGTCTACCTATTTAAGAGTATAATCCGCCATTTCTAGTACACTTCTGTCTCTTCTTCTAGACCAGGGGTCAGCCAGCTTTCACTATAACAAGTCAGTTAAGAAAGTGTACGGGCTTCATGACCAGAGAGTCTCTGTTCCAACTACTTAACTCTACCTGGGTAGCATGAAGTGTCCGCAGAACAAATGGGCATGACTGCTTTCCAACAAACTTCACTTACAAAAGCAGATGGGGCTTTAGGTTTGAACGGCAGCAGGCCGTTGTTGACCCCTAGACAATGAACTTCCTGGGGGTAGAAACATGTCTTAGTCATCACTGTGGTTTCAGAGTTTATCTACCACAGTGGTCAGTCACATGTTTATATATATAAATATGTGATGAAAAAACACATGAGTAAATGAAAAATAGCATATAGTATATTCATCTGCTTATTTTTAATCATATTAAAAACCAAAAGGACTCACCTTTAGTTATTAAACTTAGTGGTAGATCCATTTGTGTTCATTTTACTAGTGTGCGCCATAAATTGGGGAGACAATGTAAATACTCTTGTACGTGTATCTTAATTATCTAGTGCTGCTAAAACAGAAATTCCACAAGGGGTGGCTTCAACAAACAGACATGTACTTTCCACATTAGGAGACTAGAAGTCCGAGTCCAGGGCACTGACTCCCTCCATGTGCTCTGGAGGGCCCTCCCCTCACATTTCTGTGCCGTGCAATCTTCTTGTGGCTTGGCATCTCTCTTTCCCCATCACTACTCTGCTCCCTGTTTAATCTCTTTTATATTTCAAAAGATTGACTCGGGATCCTTGTATTAATCCCAAACTCACTGCTATCCAGTGGTTCCAACTCATAGCAACCCTTCAGGGCAGAGTTGAACTACCCCTGTGTGTTTCTGAGGCTGTAAATCTTTATAGGACCAAAAAGCGTCATCTTTTTCACATACTTTTTAAAGGTATAATTCAAACTACAACTCTGTGTGTGTACATATATGTATATTTAATACATTGATAAGGTATGTTAGACAGGGTTCTCTAGGGAGACAAAACCAGATTGTTAATAATTATATATATATAGATAGATAGATAGGTAACAAGAGAAATAGACAGTTAAATTATAAAGCAGTTATACAGATAGATATATAACACAAGAAATAAACAGTTAAATTAACTGTTAAATTAAATTAACTCCACTCCTGTCACATTACTTTCTTTCTCCCAGTCTACACCTATGGCCTCCTGGGGAGTTCCTTACCATACTTTAACTGAAGACCAAAAAAGTCATGCTTGGTTACAGATGGCTCTGCACGATATGCAGGTGCCACTTGTAAGTGGCCAGCAGCAACACTACAGCCCCTTTCTGGGATCTCCCTAAAGGACAGTGGTGAAGGGAAATCTTCCCAATGGGCAGAACTTCGAGCAGTGCACCTGGCCATTCAGTTTGCCTATAAGGAAAAATGGCCAGATGTGAGACTGTATACTGATTCATGGGCTGTGGCTAATGGCTTGGCTGGATGGTCAGGGAATTGGAAGGACCATGATTGGAAAATTGGTGACAAGGAGGTGTGAGGAAGAGGTATGTGGATAGACCTCTCTGAATGGGCCAAGAAAGTGAAGGATAAGCTATTGCATTAACTGTTAAATTAAATTAACTACCTCATAAGGCTAAATTCATCATCTTAAAAAGATATATTCTTTATCCACAGCACATAGGCTCACGGAGAGACAACTGGCTGCAAGAAAGTCTAGTTCAGTGACTGTCCGATTCTTTGTGATTTTGACAACCTATCTGACTTTTTAAAAATGTATGGCCCTCTTGAAGTAGAATCATTTCTAAAATTAATTTTATTTTTATATTCATGAGAATATTTCAATATCTCTTACAATAAAAGGAGACACTCAGTCTTGCATACTTTTTGAGTACAAAGAACCACTCTAATTTTAGATATCAAAGAATAGAAGAGTAATAATTTTAGAATTTAATTCCCTATTGTCAAAAAAGCTTGTATCTAGTATTTATGTACTATACAAATAAATATACTCAAGCATGTTTGTTTTCTGCTTTTTTAACCCTAATTACCAATTCCTTACAAAGAAATCTAAGAGTTCACAGTCATTAACAAGAAATTAAATGCACACAAACATAAAAATGACAAAATTATGAGGGTTTTTTTTTTTAGGAGGGTGCTTAATAATAAATTATAAATATGGAATACCTGCATGATGAAATGCTACTCCCCAGGGTACTGTTTTCTTTAATACAGAGTCCAGTCCTGAAGGCAAACGTTTTAACTGATCCATGACTTCCAGGAGGCCCTTTTGGTCCAGAATCACTGGCGGAAGTCCAGGTGGTTTTACCACTCCTGTCACACATGAAAGTCATCAACAATGTTCATCTTAATTGTACTCCTTTACATGCCAATTGCCTGAGTGATGCTATAGCTAAGCACTAGGGCAACGGTTCTGAAACACCTGTGTATTAATTCACCTTGGAGTCATGAATAAGCATTGAGTCCATAGTAACAGATTAGGTGTTCTTGGTTTGGGAGATCTTGAAAGAATACCAGTGTCTATACTCTTGCTTCAGACATTCCAAGTAATTGGTATGAAGTGTCACCCATGCTTTGGGAATTTTAAAATTCCCTTGGTGATTCTAACGTGAAAGCTTGGGAAACACTAGACGAGGTCTCCAGGAGAGCTTAAAGGGCCCAGGGGTAGAAAGGGGAGGTCTGCAAGGACTGATTACCACTGAAAAACTAACAATCCCTTGCTCAATCTATGTCGCACCAAGCAGTATCATCAGCATCACCTGAAAACTCAGACTCTCAAATCCACCCCAAACCTCTCTGGGGTTTTCTGTTTGTTTTTCCTTCTGAGTAAGAGATACATTAGAGTTTAAGGAAAACTGGAAAAGACTATAAGCAACTTTAGGGTAAGGGTTGTAATGTATTTCTTAGTTATAATATTTTACCAACTGTCTTTTAATATATCCCAATTTTTTTCCCAGATATTATTATACAGACAGTAAAACCTACAGAAACCTATATAAGGTGAAAATCTGTCAGGGAAGAAAAACTCAAATTTTGTTTGTTAAATTGAGTCATAGAAAAATGACAAAGGCAGAAAATTTGTGAGACCCAGCCTTGGAAAAACACATCCTCATCAAATTTTGGCTCTCACAGGTTTCACTATATATTATATAACACACATATACATAATATACTTTAGAGACAATAATATATCTTCAATGCATATTTCATTTGATTTGGCTGATTTTAGAGAGGTAAAACCTTTCATTCGTCATCATAAAGAAATCTTCAATACACTTTAGAAATGTCTGATTGTGGGCGCTCATAGGCAGCAAGTAGATAAGTTATGTGTGTTAATAAAAGACTTTTGGGAAATGTAACAGAAGAAACTGCAGGAAAACTGTGTGTGCTAAACAAACAATAGAAATGCTGCCCACATAGATCTATCAGGTCAACAGACGGCTAACCAAACAGCTGGGATCTCGAGGTACTAGAGATTGGGAACAACCAATTGCTTAAGGACAAGGGGGCTAGATAAAGGGTCCAAATCAGACTAAGCCAAGCATAGGAACTGACCATCCAAAAGCAAATAGAACAGTCTGCTCTTTGGATGGCCAAAAAGAAAGGGCTGGGAAGAGTAGGCCCCAGGCTACACTCAGTTATGAGTATCCAGAACCAAAGCATAGCCAAGCATTACTTCAAGTTTAAAGCACTTATACTTCACCTACAGGATAAATGTTCCCACTCCATGGCCAGGTAATAAGGCCTTCTAAAATCTAACTCTTCTCATTTTCCAAAAAATCCTTAATCAGGATAATGTCCTCAATGTTTTCAAACATATCCTATCCTTTCCTTTCTCCTGAATTATACCTTTGTAGCTCTATTGGCCCTTATGCCCTCCCCTTACCAATCTAAACTCCATTTTCACAAAATCTTGTCCTGGGCCAAATATCCTATATCAGAACTAGTCCATCATCCTTGGCACCAATCTGGTTAATTAATCACACCTTGCTTCTGGTATTTGCCTCTCTGTGTACCCTTCCTTCCCAGTAATTGATTAACTTACTTAGAAACAGGAACTATGTTTTTAAATATATATATAAATGGTTTTATTGGGGACTCTTATACCTCTTATAACAATCTGTACATCAATTGTATCAAATACATTTGTACATAAGTTGCTATCATCATTTTCAAAACATTTTCTTTCTACTTGAACCCCTGGTATGGGTTATTTCAAAGGAGTTTCCCTTCTGAACTAAAAGCTTTCTTAAAATATCTTTAAAAATTTTTTAAAGAACACTTTCAAAAAATTTTTGAGAACCTAAATAATTTTGTTATGGTTTAATTTTTCTAAGTAAGTATAAGAGTTTTTGAAAACCATATACAAATACCTTCATTTCAAAAGAAATAACATTGTAATACCAAAATATTAGGAGGGACAATTTCGGAATTTAAACTTCCATTTGGTGGGGGAAAAAAATTACTGAAGTGTCTTTATTTTTCTAATAAAAACGTCATCGCAGGCCAGTTTTATGCAAGGACTAGCATTGGAGAACCACTATGCTAAATCAGGACACCTGCACCACAAGGAAAGAACATTCATGTGTCTAGTTATTAGGAAATATGTTATCATGGTACATCTTAAAGATGCTGTCATGATACAGAAATAATCAGTGAAGGGGGACCAAGTAAGAGAAGAGACGATAATGGTGGAACAGTGCCTAGCCTATATAAACTACGGCAATGTTAACTTGTTAGAAGCCTGCTTTGTAATAGCTATCACCTGCCTCGTGATACCACAGAGTATAATGAAGAAAAGTATTCTAATATTCTGTGACCTGCTCTATGTTTTCCTTTAACCTATCATAGGCCCTAAAGGGCTAAGGCTTCTTAGAAATGTAAGGGAACAGTGTTTGTCTTAAAATCATTAAAAATATACAGCAATATTAACAAATTACTGAAAAACATTACAAATTACCGATAAACAACATAAGAGGACCTGGAAACATTATGCTGGGCGAGCGAAACTAAACACAGAGTGCATAGTGTAATCTTATTGTACATAAAATTCTTAGAAAAAGTACAGCTAATCTAGAGTGACAGAAAGTAGTCCAGTGGTGATATGGGTTGGAATGCAAGGGAGATTGATGGGTAAAAGAAGATAACAGTTTACAGTGATGGAAATGTTCCACATCATGATTATAGTGTGTATGCTTGTTAAAAATTATGCACTTGAAGTTGATACATTTTATCGTATATAAATTACACCTTAAGAAAGATTATTTTAAAATATGAAAGAGCTTCAAAAAGTTCATGGGGAAATGGAATGAAAATAAAATGGAATGTTTCCATGAATTTTTTGGAGGCCCCTCATTTACATGTATGCATATATCTATACATATGTGTATGTGCATAATTTTTTTTTAAAGAGTCCACATATTCCTTTGGAAATAATAAGGAAAACTATAGCCCCTTCTCCCAGAAAAATGAGTACACATAAGGTTTTGCATACAGTTCAAGGGCTTCATGGCCCATTTATCCCAAAAGAACTTAAGTAATTAATGTAGAGGCTAGTATTCTGAAAACAATAACAGTGTATACAGTGTCTATCATGAGGACAAGGAAAATATTAAAATCACAAAAACAGAGTTTTATAATGGAGTGCCCAGAAGGCAAGTGGTGACCATACTGAAACAGAAAGCCATGAATTGCTAAGATGATCCCTATCACTACCTTCAAGCAGGCCTTCATTTCCATCCATAACTTACCTTCAGCTTGATGATGTAGATTATAAAACTCCCGGGCAATGATATCTGACAGCTTCTCACACCATTTCTTTGATGGGCAGAAAAGTAATACTGAATGACTATTATGAACAGTCTCATAGCACAAACTAACAATATGGTCCTCATCTCCCTAAAAGAAGAAGTAGTCATGTTAGTGGTACTTTAAAACATGTTCACATCAGTTTAAAGTCTCTCCTTTTATTATATGTCAGCACTAAAATTTACACTGCTGTTGAGTCAATTCCAACTCATAGCAACCTCTTAGGACAGACAAGAACTGCTCCATGGGGCTTCCAACAGCCTCACCTCTCTCCCTACCAAGCAGGGAGTGGATTCAAACAGCTGACCTTGTGGTTAAAAAATCACTTAATCCACTACACTACTAGTGCTCATTTTTTCTCCTGATAAAGGCTTAATATGCTCATATTATAAAAATAATTTACAAGGTCTTATGTTTACATAAGAATCACCAAGAAATCTAGCTAAAATGTAGTTCTTGATTCCATTTATGTGGAATGCAAATGCTCATCAGGTAGAAAGAACCAATCAGAAGCCAAGATACTAGCCTTCTTCAAGAAATGAATGGACCAACCCTTGATACCTATTTGCAAATAACCATTGTTGCAAGAGAATAAAAATTTAGAGTGTAAATTTAATATGCAAAAAATAAGTATGTACATAGGATGGACAAATTAGTGTGGTGCCTATACTGAAAACTTGAGAAAAGAGAAAGGCATGAAGTATCATGTTTATCTGTCTGTAACTAGCATGCTCATGGCTTCCCAATTTCATACTCTGCCTACATTCTTGAGCATGATACAAGATAAGGCTGGTAGGTAGGCTGTAGTCAGACCAGACAACCTTCTAGGCTATGCTAAAAATGTTGGTTTTTATCTTAAGAGTAATAAGAAGCAATTGAAGGACATTAAGCAGGAAGTAGGATCAGATTTGCTTTTATTGAAAAAATGAAAAGACCACTCAAGCTTCTTATGTGGAGAATGCATGGGGTAGGAGAAGAAAGCGAAGTCATCATTTAGAAGGTGTGGCAGTTACATAATTTCCTGTCAACTTGAGCAAAGGGGTAGAGTCTAGCCTGTTATCGGGTAGCAGCTTGATGACTTCATTTGAAGGTATGATGGAGATAAATAGCTCGCTGGAGGCCAGAACCTAGTCTCTGCACCTTCCCTTTCCTGCTGCTCAAACACATGGAGGCCCGCACCAGCATTAAGATGCTTCCATTGACACTGGATCCACAAGACCTTCTACCCAGTGGCCTGTGATCTTCCTGCACTCAGCATCATTGCATGTGCTGTGTGAATCTACAGAGGAATTTATGGACTAGTATCAGACATATGTGCTAATATTGGACTTATGAACTTGATCTGAACTGGGCTGGGATAGTTTCTCAATATACAATTGGTCTTTTATATAAAGCTCTTTGCTATACACATTAGTGTCTATGAATTTATTTCTCTAGTCAACCTGGACTAACACAGAAGGCTACTACTGTGATTCCAGGAAGAGATGAGGAGAGCCTAAGTTAGGACAGTAGCAGATCTAGGGAGAAGAAAACTGGAGGTAGAAACAAGTAATATTTAGATTTCTGTCTTGTGGCACTTATAAGAATTATACACACTACTGACAAAAGCTGGTGGATCTGAGAATTAATATGACAAATGAATTTGAGAGTTAAGATAAATTTAAACAAATTAAATTTTAATATGGACATAAAGATTGTTGTATGTGTACAAATGTGCTTGACACAATGGATGGATGTATGGATTGTGACAAGAGCTGTATGAGCTCCCAATAAAATGATTTAAAAAAAAATGATGTATGCTTTTGAAATATCTAACCTGTCAGGCAACTGGGCATATAGGGAAATTTGGAGTAGTATGGAGGTAGAATCTGAAGGGCAGGTTACTAAACATAAGAAGGAAATCAGGTTGATGGTTAACCTCCTCTGTAACAGTGTGTGCCATGGACTCTAGTGAGGCTACCTCATAACTCCGTTTGTTAAATTGTATTCCTTTTGAGAAACCCAGGTTATGCCCCGTTGCTTCACCAATGACTCTCAGCCAGCATATAAACAATTGAGCTTTAAGGGCAGCACATACTGTCCTACTCAGGCCACAGCTGAAGACCCAATACAGAAAGGGAATAGAACAGCCCTGAGGGAGAAACAGAATAATCCTTGACCCAGATGAGAGACCCCCTGCCACTGGGGGACAAGCAAAATGACTCAGAGTGTCCCACCCCCAAGACCCAGGGACACAGTGCCTGCCTAAGACTGAAGAGCTACAGAAAAATACAGAATGTTTCACTTTTCCCTCCCAATCCTCAGGCACTCGTCCTGGACACATGGTGACACCTTGGACGAGAGAGAGAGGTTGCCCCGTCCTGTGTCATCCCCACATTCCATTCTGGACTGGGCCACTATGAGCCATACAGGGTTCTCCTTGGCTCATGTTTGGAAGTAGATTGCTAGTCCTTCCTGCCTGGTGCAGCGGTTCTCAACCTGTGGGTCACGACCCTTTGGGGGTCAAACCACCCTTCCACAGGGGTCACTAGATTCATAATAATAGCAAAATGGCAGTTATGAAGTAACAATGAAAATAATTTTATGGTTGGGGGTCACCACAACATGAAGAACTGTATTAAAGGGTCACAGCATTAGAAGATTGAGAACCACTGGCCTCGTTCATCCTAGTATGGAAACTCAGCTGTCATGGCAACAGGCCAGCCCCTCTGGCAGAAAGAGGGCCTGAGTATGAGGTGGACAGGCTGTGAGATAAACCAGGAATCAAAGTAGCTGAGAGAAAGGCATGAATTCCACTACCAACTGAGAAGTACCGTAACCTCACAATGGGAAGGATGCTAAGCAATGATTGTAGGGAACCTGGGGGGCAGGGGACCAGATGTCATGGTCCTGGGTAGACACTACAAATATGTTTCTACTCAACACTCAGTGAACTATGCCGCGGACCTTAGTCCATGATGACCTTGACAGCTGACCTTGTGGGCAGCATGGCATAAACCAGAGGCTACACCAGAAGAATGAAGAGGCCCGGCAAAATGAACTGAGCCCTGCCTCGAAGTGACCTGCACCCTTGGACTAAGGACTGGAGTACTCAGATGGGAGAGGAAGCAGAGTGGCCTCCCCATACCTGTTGGAAGTGGCAGTCATTGGACATTGGGGGGAACCTCGGTATGGTGGGCATCCAATGGAAAGGGACCCAGAATCACCATATATTCAGTACCTCGATGCCCCATTGCAGTGACATGACAGGTTTTGATCTGTTGGGCAGGGATCTGCACTTGGAAGAAATGATCCATGAAGTTTCCCCAACACCAATCCCCACAATTAAGGTAAACAGAGCTCAATTAAATGGGATATCAAACTGTGTAGGGAAACAACTCATGGGTTGCAGCTCAAAGTGGAAATGTACTTCATAGACTGACAGCGCTATTTCATTCGAAAAATTGATGCTATCAATGCAATCGCCTTAGACTCCAGGGGAATAATTAACAATGCTTTACTTTACTGTTTCTGTGGGTTTTTGTTCTCCTGCCTTTAGCTTGTTTGGTTTGGGTTTCTTTGTTTGCTGCTTGGTTAGTTGTTGTTGTTGGTCTTATGGAGTTTTGATTTTATCCTAATACAACTGACAAAGTAGAGCTGAGTCATGAATATCCCAGGGACAAGCAGATGGATTCTGGACCCCCATTTAACTCAAGCCCAGTCCAAGAAAAGTTAGTTCTGATAGCATGACCATGTCCAATACCTTCATAAAATGATCACTGAAGATAAAGGTACTACAGCAAAGTGTGGCAAAGAAAGCAGATGGTGCCCAGCTATCAATCAGAATAGTGTCTGGGGTCTTAAAGGCTTGTGTCCAGACAAGCAGCCATCTAAGTGAGGAGTTGACTAAGTCCACATGGAAGAAACACACCAGCTGTGTGATCTAAAGATGACAATAACAAAATTTGAATATGACGAAGGGAAAAGTATCAGAACTTAAATTGAGAAGTCAATTTGTAGAAGGTTATAGCAGACAGTGGGAGCCCAAAAGCCATGTGCAGAGTATCTAGTCAGATTAAGCCGCTGGCAGATCCCCTCTAGCCACAGGCAAGGGTCTATAACAGCTTTACTATCAGAGATTACTGTAATTGTGATTCTCCTGGATAGAACTTGATACTTGGTCAGTAGACCTCCCTCTGACCCAACCTGAAATTGTTCCAGGTACAAGTATTTCTTGCTTGTTCCATGACAAAAATTTCTCCTTGCCTTTAAAATACTGATGTAGTCTTTTCTTTCTTACTCATTATTTGGATTCTTATCTTTCTATTATTATTATTATGTTATCATTGCCACTTTATTTTGTTTCTGTTGGGTTTACCAGTTTGTGAAGAACAGAGAGAGCAGGTCCATAGAGCTAAGAACTGATGCAAGGGTTTATAGGGGAGGGAGGGGTGAGGAATGGGAGACAGGGAGGGTGAAGGGGTTGGGGGAACAAACAATGTCTATAGGGGTGGAGCACTAGAACTGATTGTGAATATACAACTCATCTTAAAAGCAACTTATGCAATTAAAAAATAGAAAATGTTCTAAAACTGATTGGGGTATGATTGTACAATTCTTCTTGCTATGATTGAACTGTTGAACTGTATGATATGTGGATTATATGCCAATAAAACTGAAAAAAAGAATTCCGCCAGCTCCAACACTAGCACGGTTCAGTGAAAGTGACAGCGGTCTATTGTTAAAAGACAAGAGAGATCATCTAGGAGGCATGACAAAAAGATTAAAATCTAAGGGTAAACCAAGCATACAGAAAACCATCACCATCACAATGCTAGAACTGAAGTGGACAAATGATAGCCTGTGGGTCTATTTGTATTTTTAATGTTTTATTGAAACATAGCCACACTGATTCATTTATGTGCTATTTATGGCGGCCTTCATGATAAAACCATAAAGTTGAGTAACTGCTACCAAACCAAACCCAACCAAGCCCACTGCCTTTGAGTTGATTCCAACTCCTAGAAGACCTGTAAGACAGATTAGGGGTTTTCCACAGGGTTTCCAAGGTTGTAACTCTAAGGAAGCAGAAGTGAATGGGTTTGAACCAC